GGAAAGAAAAATACCATATGAGATCGCTCATATGTGGGATCTAAAAATACATACATACATACATACATACATACATACATACAAAACAGAAACAGATTCATAGACATAGAATACAAACTTTTGGTTGCCGGAGGACAAGGAGTGGGAAGGGACTGGGATTTCAAAATGTAGAATATTAAACAAGATTGTACTGTGTAGGACAGGGAAATATATACAGGATCTTGTGGTGGCTCACAGCGAAAGAGAATGTGACAATGAATGTACGCATGTTCATGTATAACTGAAAAACTGTGCTCTATGCTGGAATTTGACACAACATTGTAAAATGACTATAACTCAATATAAAAAATGTTTAAAAATATATATATACATACACACACATATACACATGCATCTTCACTTGCATTTAACTAAGGAAAGTTCAAGTATTCCTAACAAAATTTGACAATTAGGAGGCAACCAAGCATAAGACCTAAAACTACACTGCAGAGTTACAATGCCTGATTTAAATCTGGGTTCCCACACTCACTAACTGTATGGCTTAATTAAAGTTACTTAAATGTTCTATACCCCCATTTTCCTAGTCACAAGCTATGAACATCATTAGAAGCTACCTCATAAGGTTATGATGAGTATCAGATTGACTAATACATGTAAAGCTCTTCTAACACTGCCTGACACAAAGGAGTTCAATGCACATTAGTTAGTAGTAGTAGTGATAGTAATATTATCATCATCATGAACAGCAGTGAAAGAGCAAGAAAAAAGAAAGGATTCTCTTCACCAGTCCTTCTAGAAGCAGTGTATGTTCAGTACATAGGTGTCCATGTGGTCAGGAGACAAGATGAGCATCACAAGTATATTTACAAGTATATTTAATATTAAATTGCAAATATATTTAGTATTTGACCACTGCAAATACATTAATATTAAACATTTTAGTATTTGTGAGCACAAATATGCTTTATATTTAATTATCAGAAATATATTTAACAGAGGTAGTTTTGGAGTATGTTATACAGGATTTTACAACTGTCAAGACTCATTGAACTGGGCGCAGTTTCACTCCATGTAAATTATACTTCATTTTTTTTAAGGCAAAACATAAA